TGACAGCTAGAACCACAGTTTAAACAGAAAATGGGCAAACTACCAGTTACCCACAAAAACAACCACAACAGCAAAAAAGTGCTTTGTTTTTTGCTGTTGGCAACTTTTTGGTTAAAGATTTTAACAAATATTATTTATCTAAAGTACAAACTAACAGATCCCATTGTTTGATGTAAAAATGACCAAAAAAGTGATTTTGTAGTTTGGAAAGAAGAGAAATGAGTATAAAATCCAGTGTTAGCTGCCTGTGTAGCTTTCACATGCTTATCTCACAGAGACACGTGAAATGATCAAGCTTTTTCAACTCAGCCAAGTAAATTTGTTGCCTGAATCCCATTAAATGGAGACTGAAGTAAAAAATTCAACCAAACATCCAGAAGTAATCTATGATCAGTCTTTTGGTCTCCCTCTTCTGAGTATGGGCATGGTCACACTGACAGCCTGAAAGCTGCATTTCCTGAAATGTCCAGCAGGCAGCAGTGAGTCAGTACCCACAGACTCGCATGTTTAAACTTCACAGCAGAAATAAACATGTTTACAGCCTGATACGCAAACTGTTTGTCTCTGTAGATATTTCCCCCTTCATTATACCTGTATGTGGGGAAAATGTTTTTATAACTTACCTGATTAAACTGTATTGAACAGGTGAGTTATAGACTGTATAATTAGGGGTGTGGTCTCTCTCACTGACATGCAGATGGCAACACACATGTATACTAGGTTTCACCTCAGCTAACTGGAGTCCCTGAACTGGACCTCTGGACAGTGTTTGTGCTGTTGGAGCCTTTTGGAGCATTTTTAATGACATCTTGTGACGAATAACAGGGCTTCTATGAGGTTACTGTACTAACAGATGGTCCAGGAAGGTGGAGCTCCAGCTCTGGTGAAATTCTAGGATTTTATTTGGAATGTTCTGAGAACTACTTAACAGGTATCTGTGTCTGTGTAATGCTCCTCTACAGTCTGTGGATGCAGACTTATCATTAGTTGATAACTTAGAACCAACATAGTAGCCAAATACAATCACTCCTGGAACCAAAAAACAACAACATGACAGCAGCTAAAATGCTAACATGATATGTCAGTCCACTGATGGATGATCTCATACTTTCATGGCAGTCTTTGGGTTTTCTTCTATTGTCACATCAGCAACATCAAAGCTCACATGTGCTGTCAACATAGTTGCAACATCTTTAAGGTTTTAGAAAATTATTTTCACATGTTTCTGTGAAGTTTATTTCTCAAAAATGCTGAATCAATAAGAAAAAAAAGGGAGAATAAGAAAACATTTGTCTTCTGGAATATTTTTAGAGCACTCCATATTTTTTTATTTGTCTGTCTCTGTCAATAATAATTTATTGTTATTATCTACTCCAAAAACCTTCACTGTGTGGTTTTAAAGGTTTAAAAAGGGTTTAGGGTTCATTGCATTAATGAGTTCAGAGTGGTGTTGATGCTGTCTGCTGGGACCCTGATAAATGTTGAATATCTGCTTGTAGATTTTGGTATACAAAAAAAGTTCTTTGAATCTATGTGATTCATCATGATGTGCCGTACACACCAAGTCTTAAAGCCTCATCATTGCAGAGGTGAAAGACCATCAGTTTGTTCTCGTTTTGATACAAAGAAAACAATTTTCTTACGAAACAAACTGAAACTTCTCATTCTTCTTCGGGGAAAAATTTCTCTCTCTGGCTGAATTTTAGGGATGTGTTGAAATGTTGGATTTTTCATTTCTACGCCATGTATGGAATAAAAAAAATATATATAGAAGTAAGAGCACAGAAGACAACATTTTTCTCTTGCTCCAGAAGTAAAGAGCAGCTGGTATCGGGTTCTGACTGTCAAAGCTTGACTTGTTTGACTTGTCAGAATGAGGATCCAAATGGCCAACCTGGCTAGCAGCACCTTTACAACTTCAGTCATCCATGTCTGCGCAAGTTTAATGTGACTTATGCAAGTGACTTCTCTATGCTTTCCTTTGTTTTGTAAGGACAACCTCTGCTTTGTATTTAGGGTGCAGGGGACGGGCTGAGGGGGAAAGGATGAACATATTTTTGAGGAATTTATTATTATAAGTGTTAATAGTGCACATGTGTTGTAATTGTTCGTGTAATTTCTTATTTTTAAAATTATTTCCATGAGAGTTTGTAGTGTTGTATGTTCAATTAACATCCCATGATATTTTTCTAAAGTCGTTAGAACATGCATGCATTTGGAGCAGAGATGAAGTGATAAAAGAAAGTGTAAAAATTAGAGACATTTATGACAACTATCACTTTTGTTTGTTACAGCTTGTGTTCATTGAAGATAATATCTAAAAGAAAAAGAAGCTCATGGTTTTAGTCCGGTGCCGTGTCTGAGTAAACAGAATAAAAACATTGTCCTATTCAAACACTTCCCAGAGTTTGGACGTCTCTTTTCAGAGGTGGGATTGAGGGATCAAAGTCACCCAAGCTTACCTCTCATTATTAAAGAACTTGACATTCAGCCTGTTATGATTAAAGGGATACAGAGTGCTACCTTGATGTGTCTGTGCTAATAGTAAAGCTTTTTTAGGTGACACTTTATAATACAACTCAAAGGGCATAAGTACCCTGTAATTACATGTAATTTCAACATATTTTTATTTGAAATTTAAAGGAAACAATGAAAACATTTACACTAAGTCATTTTACATACTTTGTAATTACACGGTAATTATCCAGAAGAACATACAATATTTACTCTTTTAACACTGTACCGTGTGCATTCCAAGGTTGGGCCATTTTATGAAGTCATTTAACATTGCCTTACTTCTTGATATTTTACAGGGAATGAGATGCAGACTTTATTTCAAATAATTTTAAATATTATCTAATTAATTTTAAGTACTGTGCAATTCCATGGTAATTTTCTAGAAAAAAAAATTCCATGTATTTTTCAGGGAATGATAATGATAGACCCAAGTTTATTTTTATCTGTTTTTCCTTCACAGACAATGTTCACCAGAAACCATTCAAACTTACTGCCACCTATGTGGACCAAGCTCTTGCAATGCTTGTAGCCCTGATACGGGCTACCACAGCAACCTGCTAGAAACCAAAACAATCACAAGGTTTTCAGTGCAGATTTTCAGTGTCTTCCAGTGGTTGTATAAGGATGGCATACCCGGCTGCTTGGGACAATCTGCCAGGGGAGAACTAATGGCCTATGCTACCTTTAGCTACACTGGCTACAGGGGCCTGGCTAGCTATGGGTTTTTCAAGGGTGCGAAGCCGAGGGTCTAATTCAATGATCTTGGCCTCCAGAGCTGCAAACAAGCTACATTTATTATAAGTATAATTACTGCTGAAGTAGGCCAAGGAGTAAGTAAACATCTGACACAATACGATGGAAAGTGCAGGAGGGCCAGGTAAAGAAGCCGTGCTGCTAGCGAGTCGGCTACAAACTAAGCAAGCTGGCAAATCCCTAAAGGCAGTGCATGAAAATAACCAATGATCTTCTTATGGCAGCTGACTCCAATTTACTTTCCATTCTTATTCTCCTCAATCTGAGTGCTGCTTTCAACACTATCTCTCACTCCATTGTCCTTAGTAGGTTAATCTCCATCGGTCTCTCTCATACTCCACCAGCCTGGTTTAAATCATACTTATCTGATCGCAAAGTATTATTATTCGACTTAAATCCTTTTCTTTTAAGCCCTTTCCTGGGGCCCATTGTTTTCATTATCTACCTTCTTTGTGTGGACACATTTTTCATAAATATAATATTCAGATTCACTGTCATGCTGATGTCACCCAGCTTATCGGTCCACTAAACCTGATTCTGCTCTTCCCCCATCCTCCCTCACCCTCTGTTTAAATGAACTCAACTCATGGTTCTCTTCTTTCTTAAACTCAACAGTAACAAATCAGAGCTTCTTTTGGTAGGCTCTAAATCAACATTATCTAGAACTAAAAGCTTTTCTATTACTATTAATAACTCACCGGTCTCCGTTTCTCCATGTGTGAAAAGTTTTAGTCTTATCGTCGACAGTACTTTACCTTTTAATTCACATATCAATAATGTCACTCGGTCTGCATATGTCTAATTGTGTAACATTAATTGTCTCTGAACTTTTCTCACTCCACATGCTACTGCCATTCTTGTTCATAACCTTGTTACTTCTCGGATTGATTACCGCAATTCACTCCTTTTCCATCCATAAGCTTCAACGTGTCCAGAACTCCACTGCCTGTAATATAACCAGGACCCCTTCTATTCACCATATTACCCCTGTCCTGCAGCAGCTTCAATGGGTCCCGGTCAAATATTGCATTAATCTTAAAATACTTTTGTATACATTTAAAGCTATTCATCAGCTCTCCCCTCTGATTTGGTTCAGATCACCGCCCCTTAGATCCTCTTCTTCGCTTTCTCTCTCTGTCCCCTCTCCCCGTCTTGCCGCTATGGGGAGCAGGGCTTTCAGCTGCTCTGCTCCTCGACTTTGGAATTCCCTACTTCCTGATATAAGAAATATCACTTGCTTTTCTCTCTTTAAGTCTAGACTCAAAACTCACCTGTTCAAAATAACTTATCCCACACAGCCTTCTCCATTCCGCTATTTTAAATCTATTTTATCCTTTATGATTTTGTAAACCGCTTTTATGCTTGCTTTTTATTTCTCTGATGTGTACACTGTCCTTGAGTGTTCTGAAAGGCACTTTCAAATAAAATGTATTATTGTTATTATTATTATTTTTATTATTATGAATAAACAGAGAGTATGCTTCAGATACAGCACATGATGATATGAAATAAGGCGTTATCTATTAGTTTGAATTCAATTGGCTTCACACAAATACCTCTGTGTATTGTAACAGGCACAGGAATTGATACTCTACCACAGAGATTTCATACACGTCACTACCAAGCACTTAAACACACACACACACACACA